TGAACCAAATATTTCTTTTTTTTACTTAGTGTAATATCTAATAGAGAGCGATCCTGAAGTTTGAAAATTGCTGAAGACCGTACTTATAAAGAGCTTTTCATTTGTTATATATCATTCTATCATCAACAAATGTTTGAAGTAGTATCTAGAACAGCGAACTCATGACACTACTTTAACAAAGTACATTTTATACTTTACAATTTTTTGTATATTGTTTGCGCCAGATTGCAATTTTTTTTAACTATTTAAGGTAAAAAAAAAACAAAAAACAAGACCAAACAAAAGCGCAAGGACAAGTTCTCATTGATTTAGTATTGAAGAATAATGTAACTTTTTACTTTCATTGTTTTGATATATGTATGTAAAAATTATTTTACTATTAAAAACAACTTTACACAAACCCTTACTTTATATGGTACCTATCTTAATTGAATTATAGCTAAGAAACAAACAATTATTTTGGTTATTATTTATTATTTATAAAAGTACACATTTTTTATGATCAATATTAATTGTTTTAAACTTTTTCTATAATATATTTTGTAAACATCAATTTGATTGAGTGTCTTTAAAGGTAAAAATATTCACGCTTTTTTAACTCTCAAGTAACATTAGTTAAGATTCAACGACATTAAATTAATACTTTGTAAGTGTCATTAGTTAAAAATGTTACTTTCAACTGTGTCATTAAAAAAAAAACTCTGCAGAAAAAAGTACGCATCAACGTCGTTCAAAAACAGTTTCTTTTATTTTAATAAAGTTTTTTTAGGTTTTTATTTTTTTAACTTTCTCATAGTTTAGTTTAGTTTTTTTAGCGCATTTTTGAAATAACTAAATATTAACATTTAGCAATCAATTTGATAATTAAATATCAACATTAAAAAATCTCTATTTATTTCTATATCTCTTATTTTTATTATAAGCAATGTGTGAAATATTACAAACAATAAATCAAATAAAGCTTAGTTAATGTTTTTACAAAGGGGCTGTCCATAAAGGACGTCACCATTTTTAAGACTGTTAAGAAGTTTTTGACCCCTCCCCCCTTTGTCACTGATCCTTTTTTTCTATACCCCCTTAAAAAGGATGTAATAAATTTAGGACCCTGCCCTTCTTCTCTCTTTATTTTTTAAAACAAAATTTGTTCTTAATTTAAGCATTTTTGTTGAAATTTTTTACATGAATTACATTTTTCTGTGTTTGGTAGTTTATTGGGTTTTGTTTCAGTTTTTTATCTTGTAGGCCTTCCTGAAAAAAAAAATTATTATATATTACTCATATTCTATATTCATAGATTATCCTAGTCATATTTTAAAAATCCGGAAAGATGTTTCAATAAAATATCCAGAAAAAATCCAGAATTTTTTTCCTTTATTTTCTTTTTAATTTCGTTTTTACCCAAGTTGTTTCTAATTTTTTTTGACACTTTTCATGATTTTTCTATGAGTGAAAAACTAAAAGTTGAAAAAATTAAATATATATATATATATATATATATATATATATATATATATATATATATATATATATATATATATATATATATAGGCCTCTGCCGGAAGCAAGAGCTTTATCTCACACTCATTTAAAACAGTTTACGCGAGCAATTTATGGCACTAGTAAGTCTTGCTATATATATATATATATATATATATATATATATATATATATATATATATATATATATATATATATATATATATATATATATATATATATATATATATATATATATATATATAGCAAGACTTATAGAATAAATGAAATAATTATCTGTATTGCAACTTATATTTAAGGAAGGAGTTGATATTAAAAATGAATTTGAATTTGTTGAGAGTAAATAATGACCATGAGAGAGAATTAATCCCGCTAAATCAATACTGAATAAAACCACTAGGTTGACCAACTTGGTGAAAGAGTCTTTTGTAATGGAATCAAACTATGGCAGAGTCAAAAATTGTTCAAACAATTAGCACCGCTTTGCTCTGAGTTTATAAAGCACTTCTGCAACAATTTGAAGCTCTTTATAAAGTAAATAAAAATTTTAAGTGAATAAGTTTAGAGGCTGAAAATTGTATTTAGGCTTTATAGTCCAATAGAATTTTTTATTACCTAAAGTTGTACTCTCACCCTATACATTTCAGATTGTCTCTTGTCGTGGGCAGAAGATCCGTGTTCAGCAAGTTGGATGATGACGCACAACAGCTAAGATTGTTCTACTTCAATAGTAGGACAACCAATTAATTGTAATATATATATATATATATATATATATATATATATATATATATATATATATATATATATATATATATATATATATATATATATATATATATATATATGGTCATTTTAAGTTTTAATAGTTTTTTTACCTATAATAACTGATATTAAATTTTAAAATTGTTTTTAAGTCATAAAATAATTCGATTAAGATATGCTAATGTGTTAAATAAACTTGTAATAATTAATATTGAATTTTAAAATTGTTTATAAGCCATAAAATAATTTAATTAAGATGTGGTAATGTGTTTTTAATATTGCATTGCAAAATCTATGTTTTTTTCCTATTCGTATTATAAACGTGCTCGAACATACTTAGTAAAAAGTTTTTAAATAAAATTTAACTGTTCTTTTGTTATCAAACCATAATTTTGTTCAATTTAATACAATATATTGGATTATTAAATAAATTTAGTAAAAACTTTATTTGGCTAAATTAAATTTGATATTAACTTAATTTCCAGTTTATAAATGTGTTTTTTTATTATTTTTAGATTAAAATTTTAGAAAATAATATGAAATGTCAAAGAAATGTAATTTATCACTAGAAATACGTTCTTCAGTTGTTGCTCTGGCAAATGATGGTCTTTCTAGTATATATATATATATATATATATATATATATATATATATATATATATATATTCATATATATTCAAAAATTGCTGAAAATACCGCAATCAACAGTAATACTATTCACTGGTTTAAATGTACTGGTACAAATAAAGATAGGAAAAAAACTGGATATCCCTGCAAAACATCAAAGGCAAGAAGACATGTCAATTATACTCTCATGTAAGCGAAATAGAGGATTAACAGCCCAAGAAATAACATCTAACTTCAATGCTGCTCATTATAAACCTATTTCAGAAAGATCTGTAAGACGTGGCTTGAAAACTGTTGGCTTAAATAGTAAAATAGCTGTTCAAAAACCCTTCTAAAAGCAATAAATTGGAAAAAAAGACTTCAATCAGCTCTAACACATTTAAGACGGATAAATCTAAATTTCTCATCTTTGGAACAAAGTGACAGATTTATGTGTGACGAACAGCAACTGAAAAATTTTATCCATAGTGAATACAGCCTACTGTCAAACACGGTGGAGGTTCAGTAATGGTTTAGGGCTGTTTTGCTTCTAATCAGGTTGGTAATTATACCAGGAAATGTATAAGATATACATTATAATATATAATATATACAATGTATTATTTAATAAGAGGTGTAATTATACCAGGAAATGTATGTTGAGGCGTAATTATACCAGGAAACAAATCACGCTCTTATACTTCTCGACCGTAACAAAGGCGTTAAAATTTCTACAAACGGTTGGAGACCCTTTTTTAAAAAAATTATCCAAAAAAACAGACTTGAGTAATAATATTTGCTAATTATATATTTACATTATTACGTATCATTTATGGCTTCTTTTTAATGTCTTTCTTATGTCATATATATATAATATATATATATATATATATATATATATATATATATATATATATATATATATATATATGACATAATTAAAAATATTCTGCAATTTTAATTTTTTTATAATGATTTTCTATTCTTATTTAATTTTTATATTCCCATTATGTTATTGAAATTAGCGACTATTAACTACTTTAAAATGTTCATTCAATACATTAGTGCAAAAAAGAAACTTGCAGAAAGCAAGTGATGTAAGAAACTTGCAGAAAGTGAGTGATGTAGTAGGATGTAGTGCTTTATATTTTTTAAATCAGCGCTTTAATAATATTATACCTAACTGAAAATTAATTAAATAACTAATTGATAACAATAGTAACAAATATTAATTTGTTTTGAGTTTTTATAAAATATTTTTTATAAAAATTTTTTTATTAAAAATATTTTATAAAAAATCAAAAAACAATATAATATTTGTTCCATCCCAATCTTTTGGACAAGTGTGACTTTATATTTATGTTATAAGCTGAACGAGCTTTGATTAGAAGGTTTGAAAATACCGTTTACTGGCTCCTGCTTTATCACAAACTCTGGCACTTCCGATTGAATCTTTGAAAATGCACTAGTAATTTTATGCTTTGAATGGCTTAAGTAGGCGGAGAAAAAAATAAATAGGAACCATATAAAAACGATTATAGATTTCTCCTAACGCCATTGTATACATATGTATACTACTGTTTTGAGATGATTAAACTATTAGAAATTTAAATTTATTCACTTTAATTTGTTTTTAAAAATTTTTTTGGGAGGCAAAGCTACTGTTTTTTTTTTTAGCTTCTGCTTAAACAAACTACCAACAAAGTCTGCAGTATTTTACCCATGACTACGAGTTTTGAGGTTTGCCAAACTTTGTCACAGAGTTAAAGGGTTGTTACAAAATGTAAAGTGTAGTGTTTGACTTAGCCATGATAAATATAGAAACATACACAAAAATTAAAGATTCAATGGATTCAAAATTTATAATTGATTCTTATTCATCATAAAAGTTATAAACTATTTTTCTAATAATTAAAACTCTTATCAAAGTTTTAAATGTCTTTCATACAAAAATTATACCTGCATAACCATAAACCTTGAGTCCATGTGTATACTAAAGCCCTAGCAGATGGCTATTTCAGTATGATATTATCAGTTACACTTTATGCACAGCTAAGTGCACAAAGATTTGTTTTGCTATATATTTGTATAATACAAATTAAGTATAAATATTACAAAATTATTATTCATAC